GCCCAGCTAATTTTTTTTGTATTTTTAGTAGAGACAGGGTTTCACTACGTTGACCAGGATGGTCTCGATCTCTTGACCTCGTGATCCACCCGCCTCGGCCTCCCAAAGTGCTGGGATTACAGGCGCGAGCCACCGCGCCCGGCCGGGCCGCCTCTTCTAATTCGACTTGGTACTTCACGGGGCGTGCCTAGAATCTGCATTTTAACAAGGGCCTCCCGTAGACATAATTGCACGCTGGAGTTTGAGAAGCACTCTCCCGGGGCTAAGCCAGTCAGAGCTTCGCTTCTGAAGAGGAAAAAAAAAAAAAAAGCACTGCTTGGCCTCTGCCCCACTTGCCCTTACCTCGAAATGAGGTAAAGCACTTGGTAGGCACTATCCGGGTAGTTTTTTTTTTGGGGGGGAGGGGTGTGTGTGTGTGTGTGTGTGTGTTTTAAGAGACGAGGTTTCACCATGTTGGTCGGGCTGGTCTCGAACTCCTGACTTCAGGTGATCCACCCGCCTCGGCCTCCCAAAGTACTGGGATTGCAGGCGTGAGCCCCCGCGCCTGGCCCGGGTAGTTTTATCTTTGCTCCCAAGTTTCTTCCGACAACTTCGGAAGGCTGCCTGGCTTAATAAGGGAATCCATTCTGGCTGTAGAGCAGCCTGGGTTTGAAACCTACTCATGCCAGTAACTTAGGCAGGGTACCGAAGCTCGCTGACCCTGGTGTCCTCATCAGTAAAACAAGGTTGATCACATCTACACCTTAGAGCAATGGGTTAAAAAAAAAAAAAAACCCATCATGAGAAATACATTTCGAATACTGACCACTACGCTTCTATTTGCATGAGTGTAATAAGTTTTCCGAAAACGATGCTTACTACTTGTGACACACTGATAGCTTCTATGCATATCCTATCCTATTTTATTCTCTTTCTTGTTGATCATGACTGGCAGCTTGAAAAACACTGCTGGAAAAGGTTGGTGTGATAATACCAAATGCAGAGCAGAATGCCAGGTACACAGTAATTGCTGAATAAAATGTTAATAGCCGCCTCCAGTCTACTACTCTGTTAGCCTTTGAAAAACAAGACTTTAGACGATATCACTCCTAGTAAAGAGCCTTCATGGGATCCGTATTTCCTACATAAAGCCCAAACTCTTTTTTTTTTTTTTTTAGGCAAAACCCTCCACATTTTTTTTTTTTTTTTTTTTTGGGGGGGGGGACTGTAGCCAGATGAAGATACACACTCTTTTTTTCTTAACCTCAGCATCCACCAGTACACACTCTTACTTGTGTATCTTTCATGCTTTATCTCCTCTACCCCTATTCCCTTCCTATAAATCTTACCTTTTCCCCCCCCAGGAAAGATTTCACGGTTCCTAAACACTTAAGTTCCTATCTTACCGTTCCTTCTGGTAAACTCCTATGGATCCATGGCCGGGTGTGATGGCTCACACCTGTATTCCTAGCGCTTTGGGAAGCCAGAGGCAGGTGGATCGCTTGAGCCCAGGATTTTGAGACCAACCTGGGCAACATGTTGAAACCCCATCTCTACAAAAAAATTTAAAAATTAGCCACGGCCGGGCGTGGTGGCTCATGCCTGTAATTCAAGCACTTTGGAGGCCAAGGCGGGCAGATCACCTGAGGTCAGGAGTTCATGACCAGCCTGACCAACATGGTGAAACCCCGTCTTTATAAAAAAAAAAAAAATAAATAAAATAAAAAAGAAAAAAAAAATTAGCCACATGTGGTGACTTGTAGTTCTAGCTACCTGGTAAGCTGAGGTGGGAGGATCACTTGAGCCTAGGAGTTTGAACTTACAGTGAGCTATGATCACACCACTGTACTCCAGCCTGGGTGACAGAGCGAGACCCTGTCTCTCAGAAAAATAAACTCCTATGCATCCTTCAAAACCCTTCTCAAGGTCTGCACACCACACTCCTGGCCAGCCATAGCTTCTTCCTCCTCTGCACTGCCCTGGCACGTGCAAAAGGGCTCCTCTCACACACACTATTTCCACACTTTCATTCTCACTTCTGAGTCTCCTGCTAGATTGAGCTGTGGTAGGAGGATTGAGGCCAGCACAGAGGAGGATCAGCAGGAAAAGTAAGTTAAAGAATGAATATTTACATACAATGACATCTGCCTGACTCATTTGTATAGTCCATACATTCTGTTCCCAGGCCATTTTTCAAGTTCAGATTGCTTCACTGTCAAACCAAGGACTCCACCCCGGTTCCATGACTCACCTGTATTAGGGTACAGGGGTTTGGGGGGGAGGTAGGTGGGGTTGAATATCCTGCTGGGCCACTGTCAAACCTCTTCTGGGAGAAAAGCTGGCGGTAGCTATACTTCTAGAGACTCCATCATGAAGACAGCAGAGGTGAAGGAAAAAAAAAAGTAGGCTAGGTTCGGTGGCTCAAGCCTGTAATCCCAACACTTTGGGAGGCTGAGGCGGGGCGGATTGCCTGAGGTCAGGAGTTTGAGAGCAGTCTGGCCAACATGGTGAAACTCTGTCTCTACTAAAGCTACAAAAAAATTGGCCAGGCGTGGTGGCCTGCGCCTGTAATCCCACCTACTCCTGAGGCTGAGGCAGGGGAATTGTTTGAGGTGGAGGTTGCAGTGAGCCTAGATTGCACCACTGCACTTCAGCCTGGGCAACAGAGTGAGACTCTGTCTAAAAAAAAAAAAAAAAAGAGAGAGTGTGTACGCACATGGAGGGGAGACAGGGTGTGAAAACTTAGAAGAATGCTGCAGTAGTTTTGAATTATTTGTTTGGTTTTGCCCTTTTTTGACCTCAGGCAGACCTCAGGCAGTCTGCCTCCTCGGCCTCCGAAAGTGCTGGGATTACAGGTGTGAGCCACCATGCCCGGCTGGTATTGTCCTTTTAAAGGTCACCTTATCCTTGTTTTCTCTTTGTTTCTAGACTATCTTACTCTTTTCTTTCTTTTTTTTTGAGACGGAGTTTCACTCATGTTACCCAGGCTGGAGTGCAATGGCGCGATCTCGGCTCACCGCAACCTCGGCCTCCTGGGTTCAGGCAATTCTCCTGCCTCAGCCTTCTGAGTAGCTGGGATTACAGGCACACACCACCATGCCCAGCTAATTTTTTGTATTTTTTTTTAGTAGAGACGGGGTTTCACCATGTTGACCAGGATGGTCTTGATCTCTTGACCTCGTGATCCACCCGCCTCGGCCTCCCAAAGTGCTGGGATTACAGGTGTGAGCCACCATGCCCGGCTGGTTTTGCCCTTTTAAAGGTCACCTTATCCTTGTTTTCTCTTTGTTTCTAGACTATCTTACTCTTTTCTTACTAGAGACAGCCAAAGAAGGAGATATTTTCTTTTTCTTTTTTTCTTTTTGAGACACCCTTCTCTCTGTCATTCAGGCTGGAGTGCAGTGGCACCATCTGGGCTCACTGCAATCTCCGTCTCCCAGGTTTAAGTGATTCTCCTGCCTCAGCCTCCCAAGTAGCTGGAATTACAGGTGCTCGCCACCACGCCCAGCTATTTTTTGTATTTTTAGTAGAGATGGGATTTCACCATGTTGGCCAGACTGGTTTCAAACTCCTAA